TAAAATAAAATTATGGAGGGGAGACTTTGGTTGATGTCCGAGAGAGAGAGAGAGGGACGAGCGACAGAGAGCTCTTCCTTCCTCAGACGGCACCTATATTTAAGCATTTTTTGAAGTTCGATCGTCGGACGCGTCCTGGGTAACGACTCGAACGGCTAGATCTTCGATTTACTTATGTTTTTTTTTGTTTTTTTTTGGGTGAATTGCACTTTATACCTAAAAAGATTTTAAGATTTTTATTTTATTCTTTTAAAGATTAATTTTATAAATTATACCCTCAATATATAAAAATATTGTAATTTCACCCTTGCTTTATGTTAGTTTTTCGTTAGTAACAATGAGTTAACTTTTGATGAAAAAAATAACAGAAACTATCAAAAGGGTCACATTGTAATATTTTTTAATTCATTGAAAGTGTAATATAAAAAAATTAATTTTTGAAAGTGTAAAGTAAGAATGTTTAAATCTTTTAAAGTACAAAGTGTTAAATCCCTATTTTTTATTGGATAAATATCAAGTCCCTAAACTTTGCATCTAAGTTTAATTTAGTCCATAAACTTTTAATAATCCTAATTTGCTTTATTAACTATTTGTCTCAATTAAGTTATTTCGTCTATTTTTATTATTAGATCAAAATGAAAACATATGGTTACCCAATCTGATCCATTTCAACTAGTAGATCATATGTTTCTATTTTGGTTTGATGATGAAAATTGATGGAATGACTTAATTAAGATTAAATTGATAGTTGAAAGACTAAATTAAAAAAATTAAGTTTAAAGACTAAATTAAAACCATAGATAAATTTTAGGGACCAATTATGATATTCATCTTCTTTTTTTTTTAATTTCATTTTCTTGACTTGAATATTTTAAATAAGTGAAAGTTTTATATTTTCGGATTAAGATAGTCTCTTATATGCTTTTATTTAATTTCATTCAATGTTAGATTATCTGCTATAGATGCAAGCAGGATTCATTATTTTATAAATACGTCCCTCACTCATATATAATGAGTGTGATCTACCATTAAATGAAACTAATTGAGAAAATCTAAATCTGAATTCATGTTTTTATGGTGGTGACCGTGGTGTGTACACTGTGTAGGAATTTCAGTAGACTGAAGCGGGGGTGGGGGTATAATCTTCATCCTCGTACCCGCTTAAAAAACTTTCGTCCATCTCCGGTCCACCTCTGTTAACGGATATAATTTTTATCCCTATACTTGTCCGTGGGTAAAATTTTAATCCCCGCTTTCCCTGTACCCGCCCAAGCCTAACCCCAAGTTCAAGTTAATATAATCCAAAATTCTAAACAAATCCAACAATATTCTAAATAGTTTAACATAATCTAATACAATATAATATAACATAACATATTCTAACATAACACAAACAATCTATCATGGAACAACATATTATTTTATCCTTAACGGATGGAGAATTCTATCATCTTTAGAAAGAATATAAATCCATGACTAACGCTTGATAACAAGATAGCATTTCAAACAATTATATAACTCATCTATTAGGCACCATCAGTTGGTGATCAGAAACCTATAAGCTAATTGTACGTATGCCAGTCAACAGAGGACAAAAATTGAAATGAACGTATCCTCAAACAAACAAAAATGCCCTTCTCAAATGCTCTGCTTGATTGTGCAATGATGCAGACTATTGTGTGGAGAAATCTAAAGCTTAACGTAGCTCAGGATGCATCTGTCATATGAAAAAATATCCATGTTCTTCAATATTGTGACAGTGAGTTGATGAGTAACGAAGCAATCTTGATACCATCCTAGAAATTTATCAGCTTTCGATATCAATAGAAAATATTTTTCTGCAATGAGAGTGAGGCAAACACGGAAAAAATTATTCTCCAGATAGAAGATATATATGAGTTCAACATATAGATATTATGAAAGTATTAAGCCTGAATTTTTCTGTCTCCAGATCCCGCAATACACAGCAACAATTCCAGGGCCACACACTATTAGAAAATTTGTTTTGGAGAGTAAGTTAGGGGCCTTCCGGTTTAACTGAGAGAATTTATATATATAATGGGTATAGCGGGGATGGGGCGAGGTAAGGGTAAGTCCATCTCTGCTTTTATTTTCGTACGGGTTTATATGGGTTTCCCAGTATAGGTCCATCGTCCAATACATACAGTCCATTCTCGATCCAAACAGAACGAGTTTGGACGAATACCTATTTTTTTTTACGGTCCACTGCCATCCCTAATGGTGTGTGTAGTGCGATATAAGAGGATAAATAACTCTTTAATCAATTGAAAAACTCTCAATCATCTATTGATGTTTAAATTTTTTGTTTATGATTTAAGTTGTGTTCAACGTAACTTCTCAAAGTAATGAGATGGACTTTTTAAGATAACTTTTAAAAAATGTTGTTTTTAGTGAATATATATTTTATAAGTGCATTGATATATTTGGGGGCAACATCTTAAAAGTACAAACTTATATCCACTTCAAAGCATTACCCTTAACCTTAATTTCAAAGTTAAATTGCTGACAATAGTAACTCAATGATTCCATTATAATTGTCATGTCTATACATTCCTTTATATCTATCATGTGAGAAATTCTATTTCTACATTATCAAAAGTTGTTTTTAGTATTGTACCATAAAATATAATTTTTTAAGAGGGTTAGTTACGATTTTTGAAGTGTTTAGAAACGATCCTAAATACTATGATCGATTGATTACACTGACCTGCAAAAGGGTGTAATTTAGCTCTACAAATCCAACAATCCAACAAGGTGCATAAAGCTCTTTCCCTTGGGTCGCTGCTTCATAGTACAAGGCTATGTAAATTATTTGTCTTGTAGGGTTAGAGTGGACATTTACTTCGAAGAATATGGGACACTATTAGAATTAGAATTTTAGATTCTAATAATCCCCGTGGCTTGGAATTTCCTTTTTGAGAAGCTTTCTTCTGGAAGTATTATTATTTTTGTAGAAAATTCATTTTCATTTTGGATGCTTCGAAGTTTTATATGAGATTCCGCCATTTATTTCTCCACAAAATTTCATGTATTAAATAAATAAACTTGAAAGGATGTGATGATAGACCGTTAAACTCGGTTAATATTTGATGTATGCAATTGGATACATTAATAGTGAAGGGTCAAAGTGACATTGAACTCGGATTTTCTGGTTCGATGTTTGGGTTTGAATTTTCATTACTTCAACAGTTTGGTGGGATTAAACTTATTTTTTAGTGCCCAAAATACGCGGTGAAACCTTAAATTCAACCATGATGTAAATGCGGGATCTCTTGTAGATAACTATGTGGTGTTAAAATATTAAATTGATATAACTAGAATGGCAAGTATAAAAGTGAGATGAGGTGCATACTTTTGAAAAACATCACCGAAGAAATTGAAAAACAATGCACCGAAAAGGACCACAAAAAATCTAGAGCCTCCACCCCACAAACACCACTTCCTCTGCACTCTTTATCACCCTCTAATTCTCTACCAAACCATTACCTCTACCCACCACTGCATTTATCCTTTCCACCTCTTCACTCCTCATAAGATCTGTTCAATTTCATTTTCCATCTATTTAGTCTATTTTTTTTTGTTTTTAGTCTTAACCTTTTTGGGATTTTCAATTCCATTCTATATAATATTTCATTTGATTGTTATTTTAGGGACTATTCCAATATTAGTTTTTCAGTCCCCAAGACACAAAACAAAGTGGTTCAATAAGAAAACTTCTACAAGCAAAGGGTAAGAGCAAAAAACTGTTAGAAAAATGTGACATTTATACTATTAGTAAATTAGAGATAACTCTTGCCTAAAAGCATTGTGCAATTAAAAAAAAATCGAATATTAATCATAGAAAGTACATACACTAAATTGAAAGCTTAAACTATAACCTTATCACATCCACCCTTTGCATATATACCTACAAATTTCAGTTAAGATAGAAAAATCCAATTTGAATAAAAAAGTTGCATAAATTTAAAGTAAAAACCCATAAAATTACATACCTAATTAGAAGTTATAATATTATCCAGGTATATCTACTCAAAAGTCAACTTATAAGAATTTGCAACTCATGAGAAGAAATGTGCAAACATCAAATTTAACAAAATATATATTGTTTTGTTTTTTAAAAAAATTTGGACAAAATTTTTCCTAAAAAATAGATTTCAATAAAATATTAACTTATATAAAGAGATAATTACACAATCTACTCTCTATAAAATGCTAATTAAACATATAAAATGTAAATCGCATTTCTTAAGTTTAATTGCATCAATCCAATTAATCTTTAGTGTCTATTCTAAATCAAGGCTTATAAATCTATTTTACTTGATACTTTTATTAAATATTTGTCAAATATTTTTTTTTTTTTCTAATTGAAAAAACCTCTAAGGAATCAATAATGGTAGCAAAGAACACTAGAACCACAAAGAATTTAACATACGATTATATCCTCTAAGATTTCTATATGATTCCAATCCTCTTTGCTACCATTTAGTTACCTAGACAAAAACCAATCAATTATAGTCGAACAAGTACCATTGAACAACAGTGGTTTTCATGTGCACACACTACGAGGCTGTGGGAACTACACTTTGGTGTTCGCTTGAGCTTCTTCCTATCAAAGGTAAGAGAGGTGTAATATTAGGTCAGACACTAGGCAAAACAATACATAGTAGTTTAATTATTCGACAATGACAACAAAAAGCAAGACAAATAAACCAGCAAAATTCGTATCTGTAATGTTTTGATCACTAGTTTAACACCAAGTTTATGAGTCAAATAGGAAGATCAATTGTTCTACATTACTTTGTTCATCGCAATCTTTCGGTCATCCTATCTTCATACTCACATATCTCTGGCTTAAGTGATTGAAGAAACATTGAATAAATTTGGAGAATTTCTTTTAAGTTCCTATAGGTTTTCTCCCAAAAAAAAAAAAAAAAACAAGTCCAACTATCCATTAAGACAATAATTCTAATAAAACATAACAAAGTGAAAAAAAAAGATACATAACTTCCCTAAGAAATTGCTAAATTCTTCTTGCACCATGCCTGTTCCCACTTCTCAACCTCTGTCTATTCCTTCGTCGTTGTCTTCCTACAATTCCTGTAAACCACTTGGGTTTTTCAGTTAACAACATGAGATATCCCATAATTAATCCCAGTATTGTTCCATAACTATACCCCATCAACACAGATTTCCAATTAAATCCACTAAAAAAATCTGAATTATTTTCTTGCAGCAATACCGACGGAGGAGTCTGTGGTTCCTTGTCATTGCCACAATTTTTTGACAATGGAAATCCGCATAATGCCAAGTTTCTGCTGTACGAATCATTTTGAAATGTATCAAACTGACCACCTTGAGGAATAAGTCCCACCAGATGATTATGTGAGAGATTTAATGCCTCAAGGAATGTTAGATCTGTAAGTATTACAGGAATCTCTCCCACATGTTGATTGGATGACAGATCTAATGATTCAAGCACCAACAAATTTCCCAACGATGAAGGGATTTGACCAACAAGGCTGTTATGGGACAAGTTGAGCACTAGGAGGGAATCTAGACTCCCAATGATATCTGGAATATCACCTTCAAAGTTGTTGTCCGACAGATCAATGGTTGTGAAGATAGTTAGAATTCTTACCAGTTTAAGCTCGTCCCCTTTTATCACCACCGTTACTGAATCCTGATAATGTAGTCCCCCAATATATTGCAATCCTACTCCACTTTCTTGCGCATTCTTCATTGCTTCAAAATTCTTAATATAATTTGCTGGCAGAAGACCATTAAACCCATTGCCCGAGAGGTCGATGATTCGTAGTTTAGGGAAGGGATTTTTTATTTTGGAAGATCTGTGTATGGGACCATGGAATTCATTCGAATTCAAGACAAGAAAGCTCCCAACGAGTGGGGGACTGTATCAATAATCTTGTTGCTTCCAAGATCAATAACTTCTAACTGTCTACATTTGGCCAAAGATCGTGGCACCACTCCATCTAATTGATTGCCATTCAAATTAAGAGTCCTCAAGCTATTGCACTCTGTAAATGCCACAGGAATGGTCCCAGAGAGGTGATTCATCTGCAAATCTAACACAGATAGCTGATTGATTAAGTTTCCTACACATGGTGGAATTATACCACTCAAGTTGTTATGAGACAAATCAAGAATGGTGAATGAAGTCAAATTGCAGATTGATGGAGGAATCTCTCCAGTAAGGTAGCTCTGTGACATCAAAATGAAAACAAGGGAGGGTGGTAGAACTGGAAGTGGTCCTTGAAGCAAGTTGGACCGAACATCAAGATAAACCAAAGAATGAAAAAAAACTTCTTTTATATCAGTTATATAGTTGTTAGAAAGATTTAGATAGTACAAACTACCATTCCAATTGGACCATGCCCAATCAGGGATTGAGCCACCTATTTTATTATTGGAAAGATCGAGTTGACCTAGATTTTTTGCGGTTCTTAACAAATCCAACTCTTTGATCTCACAAGTTGACAAATACAAATATCTAAGTGAAGAAGGTATGGTAGCGTTGTTGGTGCTTAATGATAGACTATTGGAAGACAGATCAAGATGCCAAAGGTTGTTGAGGTTTGAAAACATGCCTAATTCCACATCGCCACTAAAATTGTTTGAGGAAAGATAGAGATTAGTTAGGTTCACAAGTTCTGAGATTGATTGTGGAATGGGGCCAAATAGCTCATTGTTACTCAAGTCAATTAATTCCAATGACCTATATTGAAACTCATCAACTTGGCCAGTGAGTAGATTATAACTGAGGTCTAAGTAGCCCAATGATGGAAGAGTGAACAACCATGATGGTATTGTCCCACTGAAAGAGTTATGTACTAAAAAGAGCCCCTGAGACTCTCAAGTTTTGTCAAGTTGGCTACTGAGGTTGGGAAATGGCCACTGAGATTGTTACTTCCAAGTGATAATATAGTCAGCTTCTTGAGGTTACCGAAAATATCAGGAATTTGGCCATTGAGAGAATTTTGTGAAAGATCCAAGCTCAAAAGTTGCTCAAGATTTGAGAATGTCAATGGAACTTGACCATTGAAATTGTTCGAGCGGAGGGCCAAATAATTGAGTTGTGTAAGATTCCCAAGACATTCGAGAATTGACCCCGAGAAATCGCAGGATGAGAGGTCCAGATAAGTTAATGATTTCAGATTGCCAATTGATTCAGGTAGTTTTCCAGAGAAACTTGTTCCAGACAGATCAAGCCTTCGAAGTGACATACTACTGTTCCGGATGAATTTTGGTAAATGATCAGTGAGATCATTGTTGTCAAATAACTCAAGTATCTCCAAGTTTGGTAGGTGAAAAATTTCATCCGGTACTCGCCCATGCAAGAATGCGCCGCCAAGACTCAGAGTTTCTAAAGAAAAAGAGAAATTCATAGGAACACCTGAATATATTGTCACAGCTGTTAAAGCAAGTTCTCTTAACCGGGTCAAGTTTTGAAGTAGTATTTTGAAATGGTGATGCGCAAAACTGATGTGATTAAAGGAAAGATCAAGCGAAACCAGTTTGGACATGTACGAGATTTCTAACAGGATTGTACCTGAAAAGTCAGAAGTTAGAGAGGTTGAGGTGTGTCAAACTCGAAAATTGACCAAATTCATGCGAAATATTGGAAGTCAAGAACTCATTATAAGCAAGGTTGAGACTCTGAAGGTGAGAAAGTTGGAAGAGACTGCTATTGGAATCGATAGTCCCCTGCAGTTGGCTGCAACTGAGGTCGAGGCCAATCACATTGCCTGTTAATTTGTCGCATGTAACTCCATCCCACAAGCAGCAATCTGTATTCTTATTCCAAGAAATGGTCTTCGGGGAAGAAGATGGATTGCTGGAATCACAACCATAAGATGCAGAGCTATCGATCGTAAATATTTGCTTAAATTGAAGCAATAGAAGGCTCTGGTCATGAGGACATGAATGATTTGCGGAGGAAGTGGAAAATGATGAACATGTAGCAACTTGGTAATGTAAGAGATAGAAGATGAAATGAATTAGCCGACCCATAGATCTTAAAAACAGATTTTTTGTATGGTAAACAACAATACTCACGTCCAAAGTGTAACCGTAGAATACAGTAATCTTCACCTTGGGCTTGTAGTTTATAGCTTGAATTAGTTGTCTGGGAGAAGTCAAGCTTTACAGAGACTCCAACTCCAAGAAATAAAGGGAAAACTGCAGCAAAGTCAACTATTTTCTGTGAAGCAGATTATCAGGGAAACATCACTTTCATCTTTCCAAGGCATAGCTTAATACGAATGACCTTGAATAAACTAAAATCAAGCCAACCTGGAGGAAGAAGATTATCAAGTTGGTGCTATTGCTGACTACTGAACAGTCTAATTTTTTGGGTAATGTATGCAGCCTTGGCTGCTCTAATTCCTGATGAACAGAGTCACAAACTAGCACTTGATTGTGCAGGACAAAGAACCTACCATTGGCTGGGCGGTGGTCCCGAGGCAATAAATTAAAGTCTTCGAGTTTTGGAATACTCAAGCTAGACTTGAGTCGATTAGCTCATAATCGATGGCTGCACATAGATTCTTATTGGAGCCCGCCTTGATGTATATGCACAGGTGATTAGTTGCTCTGGTTCTTATTCAAGCTCTAATTGTTCATATGTTAGATCAACTCATTTTTGTACCACGAGATCAAATTCGAGTAAACTAAATCACCCACCAATGAAATTCCAATCCATACTCTCATAATTAGTAGTCAGGCCTTTATCTATTAAACTAACGTGCTACTTTTTTATTTTCTATCCATGAAATGGTCGCATGTTGTATTACCGAGCCGAGCAGCACATTATTTGAGCTAAACATTGATTATTAAACGAGCTTAAACATTTGACCAAATCTAATCCATTTTCTAATACAACCAAACTTGAATAAACAAAAATTGAGCTGAGCCCAGGTAAGAAGATGGTCAAGTAGATAATATTGCTGACTACTGACTCGCCTAAAGTTTTGGATGACGTATGCTTTTGCTGCTTTAATTCCTGATGACCAAACAGCCTTCAGACTTTGCAGAACAAAGAAGAAGAATTGACTTAGTCTACAAGTCTAATCTGCACAGCTCATTCCTCATATGATGCTGACTTCTGAGCAGACCATGCCCTCCGAAACATTAAGGCTTTGCTCACCGGAAAAAGCAGTCATTCAAATATATGGGAAACATCCTCGCAGCCCTACAATCAGTTATTTTAATACAAGTCATATTCGGTCAACCTATTGAATCATATATTAAAATCCTAATGAACGTTTCAACTATTAGCGTTAGAGTGGAATAGGCACTGTGACGTAGCAGTGGGTTGTGGACGAATGAATAATAGATCGAGTATAATCAAATTTTAACTCATTTTCAACTAGTTTAATAAAATGAGTTATAATAAGTTGGGCGTACTAAGTTAGATTAAACCCGTTGATTTGGAAACAATCTATAATAAATGTAGGATCGATAAAAACACACAAACATACTAATTAACAAAACACTATCACAAAAACAGAAAGATTAAAAAAAAAACGCAAAGGTACGCATAACAATTTTCAACATTGCATGTTAATAAAATACAAACCCGACATGAAATTAACACATCGAAGATGGCTAGTTCTTGACACAATCTCGAAAATGATATGACCAAATAACTTGAGTAATAAATGGATAGTATTAGTGTCCAACAACAATAATCCGCTTTTAACACGACAATCACGATCATTTTCGCTATTTCTCAATCTACAATGGTATGAATAGTTTAATATATTTTGCAGGACTCGGGACGGAGTGGCTTTTTAGTTTATAAAACGCCTATGAGTGACCAATGTGATTGACAGAGAAAGAGGTCCTAATTATGGGTTTCTAGTCCATAGATTATATCAATCAGGCCAAATCCGACCCTATTAATGAATAGATTACCCACATTAATATTGGTGGCAATGGAAGGCGGTTGTGAACCATAGGACTGTGATGGGCTTATTAGTTTTTGAAAATGTTTTAGTCACACTCCTTCTAGTTTGCTATATCTTTAAGGACATTTTTTCTATACACTGACACCCCTTTTCAGATTAAAAGTGTTAATTATAATATAATTTTACTAAATTGTCTATGATATATTTTAGGAAAAACTTAATTCACACCTCTTCTAAATAGACATATCTTCAATAAGACTCTTATATTTTCCAATTTTTTTTTACGTATTAAAATTTAGGTCATTTAAAATTCGATTCGAGCTAATTAAAAATTATATTTTTTTATTTATTTTAATTGTATTCGAATAAAATTCCATTCGAGAATCAAATCAAATTTTAGTCAATTCACATTATATTTTAATCGACCTGAATTTTAATACATAAAAAAAATAAATTTTAGTTGACTCAAATTTTAATACATAAAAAAATAAATTCTAATCAAATTGAATCTAATTTTAATAAATAAAAAAATATAAATTTTAATCAACTCGAAGAAAATTTTAATCAGGGCTAACAACTCTAATAGAGTTCAAATCAGTTCGAATTTTAATACGTAAAAAAAGTCTTTTAATATGTAAAATATTTAATCTTGAATATCAAAATTTAATATATAAAAAAAAAATTTTAATTAATTTTAAATCGAAAAATAAATTTTAATGGCTCGAAATCGAATTTTTTATAGAAATATTGTTTTGGGTTTACGTAGGGGCAATTTAAGTATTTTAGATGATTTATTTTTGTTATAAATAGTGATTTAACGACAGAAGGTATCAATGATATTTAAATATAAATTAGAATGAATATTAGTAATGTTTTGAATAATAAAAAAGATGTTCTTGAAGATATGATAAATTATAAAGGGTGTGATTGAATTTTTTCTTAGTTTTTCGATTCAACGGTGAGGGTTGTTCGGCCCAAGTCAACTTAGGTCCTCTTAATTAGTTTTTTTTTCGGTTTGGTTAAGAGCAAGTTATCCACGGTAAAATTAGAATATTTATGGAGAATAAATTTTTTACGATCTGATCCCAAAACACTTTTAAGACTCAAATTTAGAATATATAAATTTACAATTCGTCAATATCACTGCTTGACCTACCACTAGAAATTGCGTCAATATCACTACCCACCCAAATCGTTTCCCCTTTAGAGCCATTCAAATTTCTTTGACGCCCTTTAAAAACTTATCTTTTTGTTTTTAAATTTATTTTTTTTAATTAGAATTTTGCAGCCGCCGGCGGTCTTTAAGTTTGAATTTTGTTTGGGTGTGACCCAACAGCGTCCGCTCTACAATTATTGTAGTTTTTTTT